ATGAATGAGGCATTTTTTATCTCACAAAAAATTTGAATTTAAAAATTTATTCTCTCATAAAATTATCACTAATAAATCAAAATTATTAATTTAAACGTGTGAACCAAAAAGACTCTTAGTCTTATGCCTAAAAGCTCCTTTATTGTTTTGAACTATTAGATTCTTATTGTATATTTTACTGATTAAACTTTGATAGCTCAAAATTGCCAGGTAACAATGGGGATTTTTTAGACAATTATTTAGTAGGATAAATTTAAAAGGTAGAGCACAATTTTTAACCGTAAGATCTTCAAAAGGTTTAACTAAAATATCGTATTTTGATTTTAATTTTGTCTAAGATTAAAAACTGTATCTGAATTTGGTTTGACGGTGAACAACCATGTTTACAAAAAGACACTATCATATAATTTATATATACATATGTATTTGTTAATAATCTAACATAAAATTATCCTATGTTATATCTTTCAAGAATAAGTTTGAATTTATTTTACTATCTTCAAGTACACATCTTATATATTCATACCTTTCAACTTAATGTCATCAACTATGCTACATAAATAATTGCACATAAGCTGTTTCTCCTTGAGCATGTATCATAATGATCGTCATAATAGTTCATAATTCTACAATTCCATGTGGTTTCAACCGCATCGTCTCTAACACATATGTAATTGGGAAAAAGAGAAAATAGGTCAAGATTTGAGATGAATTAAAATTAATAGGTCAATAGTTTACATAAGTTAACAAATAGGTCAAATTATTGTTTTCGTCAATAACTAGTATGGTTATGAACTATAACTTGATAAGTTATTGTCCATAATTGTTCATAACTTGTCTAGTTATGAACCATAACTTGACAAGTTTATCCATAACTTATCTGGTTATGAACCATAACTTAACAAGTTATAGCCTATTAATTTTTATAACTAAAAATTGGCCTATATACTTTCTTAAATTTTTCATATTAGCCTATTTTCTACTATTTCCCTATGTAATTCTACATTTCCTTTAATAATAGTTTCCCATTATTATACACATGCTTACAATAACAGCTTTAATAAGCATAGGATTAGCCCATTGTATTAGGTAGTAATCAAGAAAGATAAGAGGAAAAAAAAAACCCATCTTTAGAGTAAAAGAAAGTTTTGAATAGCATGTTAAAAAGTGAAAGAAAAAAGGGGATACGTATCAAAGATGTAATAATGTGAAGGGCAAAAGCCTTCACTTTGAGAAGATGATTGGCCCCCACTCTTTGGAGCAGTGTCATGCTGTGATGACGATGTGATGTGGGGAAATCATTTGGTGTGAAGACCCTGGCCAAGTGACTATGGCATGGGAATTGCAAGAGCTTCTTTTTTATTTGGCAATTTCTACGGTAGAATTTGTCTCTTCAATTATCTGTTTCCTAATTCTTAGTGCTGTTTTAATTATTGAATTAAATTTTCAACGCATATATGATGCATAGTAAATTTTTAATATTAAAATTTTAATTTAATAATTAAAATAATAGATTTTACAAATAATTAAAAAAGACAGTTCTCACGGTAGGAATTCTTCTTTATTTCTTTATCTCTCTCCTTCACTCTCTTTTGGTTTTGTTCATTTTTATTTTTTATTTTTTTTATTTGGGTTTGCGCACAAGATAATTATGAGCAATTTGTGTGAACTACTAAGCATGCGGGCTTAGAAGTGCATCAAACACTCATGGTCTGTGTTTTACTGTTTAACCTTCATGCTTCCCCAAAAGGGCCTTTACAGATTCGGCAAAATGACAAGGTCAACACATGCGTTTTCATGTGTAACGTTCTGATATTTGTTTTGTTTTTTTTTTTTTTTTTCCCCCTCTCATCAAGGTTTTGTACAAAACTACAGTCATTCACTTTTGAAGGTGATTCAGAGACAAATTTCATTCAAAATGCTGGTCCTTTTCAAGCAGTACATCAATTTCTGAGTGATGTTTATCCACAAATTGTTGCTTTTATAGATTATGTCATGCGGAATCAATGTGGTTTTGGATTGTTGTGATCAATTAATTCATTGCTTTCATGAGAAGTTCGTTATTGATTTTATCAACACTAATATTGTCGTTGATTAAGTATCAATAAAGCATCTTAGTTGTCACACATACATCATTGGTCGCATATTCTTGTGGTATTGTAAAAGCCTAAAAAGAGACTTTCTAGTGCCAAGTTTAATTTGGAAGAAAAAAAAAAAAAAACACCAAGAAAAGATGTTAGTTTTGTTGTTCGCGTTTGATGTTAAACTAATGAGAAGGTTCGTCTAGGTTGTTTGACTTAATGAACTATAGTATTGGAAAACTAATATTTACGGTTTAGTTTTAGGACTCCAAGGCTCAAAAGCTTGACAAAATTAGACACTCAGCCTAAGGCCCCCCGCGCACGAAGTTCTGCGCTGGCATTGTGAACGAGATGGCTTGCCAGTGTCGCTTTTTCAAGATCCACCGCGACCGTCGAGCAACGAGATCTAATTTTGTCTTTTGATAATTTTGCTTTATACTCTTGTTTGCGTCGGAGATATCATATGGATCTGATTTTAAGATCTCGTTTCGATAATTTTTGTTGTATAACATGTAGTAATCACATTTAAATAAAGCTTAGTGACCTGAAACAAGACCTTTAAATAAAACTTTTAAGATCTCTCGAAAATTATTTTTAAATTTACTCAGATAAGCTTCTCCATTTTTTTAGCGTGATTCTCTCTACTGAATCAACTCACAATATCTCCGTAAAGAATCTGCACAAAATCTTCATGTTTTCTCCTCGCTTCACCTTTTCGGCATCAATATGTTCACTTTGAATTTCAAAACCAATTTCAACATGCAACATATAATCTCCTCTTAGCCAGCTCCACGTTAATGCCCACGAAACACAACCACGCACAAATATCTATGGGCCCGTTTAGTTCGCTGATTTGAGTTTTTAATTCGAGTTGAGATGTGATTTTATGTGAGAGCTTTTTACTGTAGCAAAAAAGTTAGATGTGATGGTTTGTGAGAGCTTTTTACTGTAGCAAAACTCAAATTCTAAACTCGAATCAGTGAAATGAACGAGGCATATATATATATATATATATCAAAGTCTACTTGCAGACTTTCACTCAAACACGTTTTCAATTTCAAATTCGGATTGTACATCAAATTCAACAAATCTGAATTAATGCAACATCAATTTTCACAAGTTGGATAAGCTGTAAATATCAAAACCATATCTCATTCTCTTCCACGTTTATAGTCTTCTCAAATCCAGATAATCATCAGTTCAAATTCTCCACATAATCTTTTTGATCCTTATTTTTTTCTAGAATCCCATTTAAATTCAAATAACCAATGTATTATCTTATTTTAACTAAGGCCTTATTCTTATCTCTCAAAATCTGATTCTGAATATTATTCTGTAATACAAAATCTTTTTAAACCTATTTTTTGAATTTTTACAAAATTACTAATAAATTACCAACTAATAAAAATACCTTACAAGTAGAAATCAGAAATTCAAAACTCTAATAGTCCAAAACTCATTGGCGTTCATCAAATGTTAAACCCACCCCAACTCAATCCATGTACAGTCCAACTAATAACTAAAGGGTTGTTCTTTTGCAACAAAACTCAAAAAAAATTTGAACTTGAGTTACAACTTTATTCAAGTTCATGTTCTTTTGTAAAATTTGAGTTTGAACTCGAGTTTGAATTCGAGTTTGAACTCGAGTTTGAGGCTAAACTCGAGTTCAAGTTTCCCCTTCAATTCGAGTTTATAAACTCGAACTCAAGTTAATGAACAACGTTTTTTCTATTATTAAAAATGTCATAACTTTTTCGTGTCAATTCTGATTGAGATGATTTTTTTTCTATGCATTCACAACGAAAAGACGAATAAAACCCCTCCCATATTCCCTATTAAAATTTTTCATCACTATTGAGTTTTTATTAAAATACTATCTAAATACAAATTTAAGTTTTGACTCACTCAAACATAAACTCAAAAAGATTCTCAATTTAAATTATAACTCAAATGTGCATATCTAAACACAAACTCAAATTACAACTTCAACTCAAATTATAATTCAAACTTAATTCAAGATTATCACTCAAATCATTCTAACTCAAAAATGTAAAACAACAACCCTAAAACTAGTTGGGTTATTGGACCCCAAAAGTATATCGAATTGTAGTTGGATTTGTGTTATTTACAGATAAATATAAGTTTTCTAAAAAGAAATAAAAAAGAAAAATAAGAGGGGCTCAAGCCCCTAGCTAGCTCCGTGCCTGTTCTTATCATAAAAGATATATAATAAAGAAAACTCTCTCTGTGTCTCTTGTTTCGTTTTGTTCCTTTTTGTTCTCAGAATTTGTTCCTTTTTTTTTTTCTTAGAATAACGAGATTTTCTCGCTATAAAGATGGACACACATTGATCTTAATTTATGCATTAATACGGCAATGGTTGTCCACTTGCCTATTTTGTTTTTGGTGTTTGTCCTTTCGCTATATAGTCAAAAAAAAGAAAAAAGAAAAAAAAAGCTTGAAGATAAGACACTTGAACCCAAATTCAGAGATATTGGTCATGTGCAGCTGATTCAATTGGCAGATAGTCCAATTATTTATGTATTTTTTTTTATAGATTTAATCAATAATTTAAACAAGAAGATATCACCCAAAATCACACAAGATCTGATATTGATTACATCCATAAATTAAAGTACAGAACAATTAGAAACATAATAGCCTTCCATAGGTCTATTAACTCCTTAAAAAAAAATGTTGCAAATCTCCTGGTTTCATCTTGTTCTCATCATTCTTCTCTTCCTATTTCCACTAATACTTTGGAAAAAGAGATCATTCAAAACTTCTAATTATTACAAACTACCCCCAGGACCATGGAAATTTCCACTTATTGGAAACTTGCATCAATTAGCACTCTCTTCTTCATCTTCACTCCCACATCGTTCCTTAAGAGACTTGTCAAAGAAATACGGGCCAGTTATGAAGCTCCACTTTGGTGAGGTTTTGACTGTCGTAATTTCCTCTCCAGAAGCAGCCAAAGAGGTTTTGCATACTCATGAGCTTGTTTTTGCACAAAGACCCCTCACACTTGGCCTTGAAGCAATGTCGTTTGACCACCCGGGTGGTCTTGTCTCCTCTCCTTATGGGGAGTACTGGCGCCAAATGAGAAAAATTTGTGTCGTTGAGCTGCTAAGTCCCAAGCGCGTGATGTCCTTTCGATCGGTCAGAGAAGAACAAGTTTGGAGCCTCATTGAATCCATTTTTATGTCCCGAAAATCTAATTCATCGCTTATCGCGATTAACTTCAGTGAGATGATCATTTCCATGACAATCGCGACGATTTCGACGGTGGTCTATGGGAAGAAGTGTAAGGGCCATGATGAGTACGTATCATCACTCAAAGAGTTGCTGACTTTCAGCACCGGATTTACTCTTGCTGATTGCTTTCCTTCCGTTAAACTCCTTGCTCATGTGACTGGTATAAAGGCTGCACTAAAGAGAATACGGCAGAAGATTTCCAAGATTCTTGATGCTATCGTTGACGAGCATAAGGAGAAGATCAAGCACACGAGAGTGACGACGGATGAAACGTCGGAGGAAGATGATTTACTTGATGTGCTTTTGAGACTCCAACAATCAAGTGAGCTCAAATTTGGACTCACAACTAATCATATAAAAACTGTGATCATGGTATGATTTTCAGACCACGCTGTATAAGCCCTTTTTTTTTTTTTTCATGTCCTTATTATACTAGAAACACAACTTTCAAATCCTAATTTTTTTACCCTGATTGGGGGGATTCGTACCATGATTTGAATCATGATTCGTAGTTCGTTACAATATTTTTTCTCACAAAAAACACACGTGAATCGAAAATGATTCTGAATCAATGAATCATATGTCTACTAAATTATCATCTAATTTTCAACCGCAAATGCAATCTTTTATACGACTACTAACAAAAAAGAATGACAAGTCATAATTGGTAAAAATATTTAGGATTAAAATTAGTATCCCAATTTATTGTTGGTTAATTTGTTTTGTGACATTCTTAGTGTTAATTGGTACATTATTTTTCAGGATATTGTAGGTGCAGGAGGTGAAACTACAGCAACTGCCTTAGAATGGGCAATGTCAGAAGTAATAAGGAATCCAAGAGTATTGGAAAAGGCACAAGCGGAAGTACGGAATGCACTAGAAGGAAAAGTGAAAATCAAGGAAGTTGACGTTCAGAAATTGCATTATTTGGAATGTGTCATCAAAGAAACGCTACGATTGCACCCTCCCGCGCCCTTGTTAGGCAGAGAATCAAGGGAAAGATGCCAAATTCTAGGATTTGACATTCCTTACAAAACAAAGATTGTCATCAATGCTTGGGCACTGGGAAGAGATCCAGGGATTTGGGACAATGCAGACTGCTTTGAGCCGGAGAGATTCTTGGATTCGTCGGTCGATCTAAAAGGGACCGACTTTGAGTTTGTTCCTTTCGGGGCTGGAAGGAGAATGTGTCCTGGCATACCGTTTTCTTTTCCAAACATGGAACTAGTGCTTGCTCAGTTGCTGTATCACTTTGACTGGCAACTCCCAAATGGTGGCAAAATGGAAGAACTAGACATGTCTGAGGAGTATAAAGTAAGTTGTAGGAGGAGGAATGATTTGTACTTAGTTGCCACTCCTGTTATGCCTTTTATCAATTGAACTTTATTGAATTAGGACCTAATTAATGATCCATAAATGTGAACCATTTTTAATCTCGAGTGATTATGTTACAATAATAGAGAGAAAAAGGACATAAATATGAGATGAACTACTTTTATTACTTGCTGCAGAACACAAAAGCTTACAACTTGATGCTCTTTATATAGAGCTAATCCCCAACGGATAATAAACATGAAATAAGGAATATGCATTCACTAAATCCTAGAAAAAAGCAACTTGCAGAAACAAACCTCCTACTGATTTGGTAAACACAAAGCCATGTTCTGTACCACTAAAAACAAACTCCTATATTCTAGGACACTAATAGGCTATTTAGTTCGTTAATTTAAGTTTTTAATTTGAATTGAGATGTGATTTTATGTGAGAGCTTTTTACTGTAGTAAAAAAAGTTAGATATGACTGTTTTTGAGAGTTTTTTACTGTAGTAAAACTCGAATTGATGAAATGAACGGGACCTAAACAGCTGACCCCATAAATAAAATAAATAAATATCGTCAAATATGACCGACGTGACTTAACAGATTATTCAATATCAATATTGGGCGGAAGAAAAGAAGCAAATGTTGAAGACTGTCTCCAGGATATGTGACCAGCTTGTAACTTGCAAGCAGTAGCTTAATTTATTGTTGATGAGAATTTATCTAAAATAAGAAGCATAATATCGTAGAGATTAGCAGTTGAACTTTAAAACCATTAACACTCTGTTTGATATGCAATGGTTTCTCAATTTCTCACGACTTTTTAGAAACAATTTATGATCTATGCAACAGATCTGTGGAAAAAATTTAGAGTTGGAAATTATTCCAAACCAAAGCTATTGATTGAATGTAGGGAATCTTAACATTTTAATACAAACGATATATGCCCGTTAGGCATGGGACTATTTAGGGAAAACTAAAGCTAAAACAGAGACAAAACGACACTAAACAGAGTCTAGCGGCTGGTTTCAAGGAAAGAAGACTATTGTGATCCCAAAGTTACATTTTTCTTTTAAATTTTTACGTACAATTAATATAAAAGGTCTATTTGTTGGGGTATAGAGCATTTGCCTTCTTCATAAGAATTAAGATGGGATAACATATTGAAAGTAAATATAAAATCAGATACGAGATAAAGATGTATGGGATTCACATAATAAAGTTCATCCGAATGTTTATCAATACATGAAAGTCCAAAACATAAATAATAACAAAGCTAATCTGGAACTAATAGAGATATTGAACGTTTATTAGTACTAGAAGGCAAACTGAAACGACAGAGGGGGCATAAATTTCCCTAGTTTAGCCACTCCAGAATGCAATCTTCATGAAACTGATGAGAGCAAGGCATGCGAATATGAGTTGGGACCCAATCATCACTTCCATGCAAATTGTTGACGGTATTTTTCCGACAACGCGTTACTTACTCTCTAAAGACACTCTCAATAACACTCGCGGTTTAACTAAGGATTAAAGTTAAGAAATAATGTAAATGAGACAGAGATTTATAGTGGTTCGGTAAGAACTCTTTGCATAATCCACTTGTGAATGCACTAATATCTTCTGAGATTACAAACCCTCTTGAAGTAATAAAATAGTGCGTAACCCTTTTCTCAATTTTCTTGGCTCTATTTATAGGCATTTACATGTGATTATCCCTTCACCGTTCCCAAGGAAGAAGCCATCTTCCGTCCCTCGATTTACGAGCGGGTAGGTGAGTTTTCATGATGACAACCTCAGGAAATGCGGCTGATCCTTCTCATTTGCCGCCTGATTTCCTGACTCCTGCAGTAGCAGTTGGATCAATACTTCCTTCCATGAGTTGATAAGACCGTTGATGGATTTGACTAGACGTGCTGTCTCGACGCAGTGGCCTCCAGCAGTCGAGTCATGGTGCTCGACGCATCTCACCACGTATGGTCTCTTGACGTAAAGGCCATTTCAGCTATAGTCTGCTCCCTCGACGCCAGATACCGATTCTCGGTGGGGAGTGCTCGGCGCCTGTCATTCGATAGAGTGGTCAATTCCTCGACCATGGTGTAACAATTACCCCCTAGACTGGGACGTCACAGTGTAACTTTTCAGGCTATACAACGTCGAGAGCGCCACATGGGGAAAGCTTTTCTGCGGGTAAGGGCGGTCGTTTGTAGGTACAGTGCATCATTGCGGTTGGTTTCTTAGGCAGTGGAGCAGTCACGTCGATCGTGTCAATAGTCACGTCCCCACTTCCCGGACGCCACGTGGCACTGGAAGGATGAATCGTAGCCATACGATTAAGTCATTTTCCGTTGCTTTCTCCCCGACCGTTCGATCGTGCCTTCTCGGATCCACCGTCGGATGGGACCGAATCAGATTCTACGGTCGAGATTTGGAGTCTTTTGGACTCCTCGGGGACCCCTGGGTTCCTCCTCGGGCGTATATATATGTCCTCATATCCGCAGCTCTCTGGTCACCAAGCCTTCAGTACGCCGTTACTCTGTCAGATTTTCACCAGAACCTTTCATCTCCGTGCATCCTTCCACGCATTGCTCATTTTTGCCTTCAGACTCAGGCCTTCTTCGAATCTGGTAAGCCCTCATTTTCTTCGTTCTTCTTGTGAGTCTAGTTCCAGTGTCTGCAAAACCAGGCCCAAACGCGTTATAAGGAGGGGGGATGTACTTACCTGGCGGTGCCGGCCGTGAGCCGGGGGCTGAGCCCGCACGGCCTGATCCGTTTGGGCGCAGTTGTTTTGGCCTGAGACCTTCGAGCTCGACTTTAGGTCTCTTTAACTTATGGCATAAATTTATCTTTCTTTTGTATGGCTGCAAAGCCCGAGTGTCATATCCTTGGCTCAGGGGCCTCTGGTCTGAACACTCATCACTCCCCTTCGCACTGTACTTTTGACCTCTCGACCACTAGGATCTAACCAAACCCCTTTTGCTTGTTTTCAGAACATGTTACCAGAATAGGTTAGGGGTCGAGAGGTTTCCACCTCCAGGGTAAGGGACGACCCTGAAGAGATGGCCACATCCAGCTCGTCCCTCAGGTCATAGCATTCGGCCGTAGTGTGCCCACTCTCACTGTGAAACCGACAATACTTATTTTGGTTTCTCCGTACTGGGTCAAACTTCAGCGGTGGTGGTCGACGCAAGACCTGGAGGTGACTGATCTCGTGATAGACGTCCTCGATCCCCATAGTCAAGGGGGTATAAGCGTTGTACCTTTGCGGATTTGGTCGCTTGTTCTCCCCCTGGCTCACTGAGGCGTTGCCACCCCTGTTGCTTGGAGCCGGGTTCTACCTTTGCTCGGCCTGCACCTGAGGGTGACCTCGGCGCTTCTTACCGCTGTTCTGATTGTTCGTTTGCCCTACCTCTTCCTTGACAGGGGCTGCCGCCTTACCCTTCAAGGCCTTCTTAGCCTCTTCGGCGTTGATGAATCCCTATGCCCTTGTCAGGAATTCCTGGTAGGTATGGGGCGGTCTCCGGTCGAGGTTTGTGCTGTAAGGGATATCATTCTTCATGCTCGACAGTGCCCCCATCAGGGCTACCTCATCGGATATTCCCTCCGTGGCCGCGACCTGTTCTCCGAACCTGACTATCCAGTCTTTCAGGGACTCGTTAGGCCCCTGGTACACCATCGACAGGTTTTGTTTAGGTGGGATGTACTTTTTGACACAAGTTTTGTTTAGGTGGGATGTACTTTTTAACACCTATGAACTGAGTTAGGAAGGCCTTCTTCAAGTCATCCCAACTGGTGATGGAGTTCGGTTTCAAGGATCTGAACCATCTCTTGGCGGAATCAAAAAGGTGATTCCTGAATGCTCGGCACATGACCTCCTCGGGGTATCCATGCAGGACCATATGTCTTGTGTAGACCTCCAGGTGGTCATCCGGGTCACTTCTTCCGTCGTACAGCAGAATGTGGGGTGGTTTGTACCTATCTGGCAGCGGTACCCGAATAATGTTTTCTGTGAACGAGTGATCGTGGGATGTGTACATCTTGGCGTCGACATTGACCGCCTCAGTGACCTTTCCCACAACTTGTTCGAAGTTGTTTAATCAGCTCCCTATTTGTTTCTCAAGCCTGGCCATCTTCTCGGCCAGGGCTTTATTCTCGGCCGTTAGCTCGTCCTCCCTGACGCGCTGGGCGTCTCGGTCACGCCGAGCGTTTAACTTTCCCCTGAGGTCTCCTCCGCGCGCAGACGAGGATTCCACGGGGACGGCAGTCCTCCTGTAAACGTCGACCAGGGGCCGAGGAGGCGCACCCTGGGTATTCGCAGCTTGGGACGCAGCCTTCTCTTGAGGCGCGCCCTGATTATTCATGGCTTGGGCCGCAGCCCTCTCCTGGGCTCTTCTCCTGGCCGTCCGCTGCCAGCTTCCCCCATACTTGTTCGACCTGGCTGGGCGGGGGCTGTTGGCCCCATTATCACCGACCCCCTCGGTGTCACCATGTTGGTCACCAATCACTTGGTTCCCGGCGGTGGCGTTCACTGGGTTCATCGGCGCGTCTTCCAACGGTGGCATCGAGTTTTGCCGTTGATCCCGCCCGGTGAAAGTTGTAGCCATCCTTTCCACGGCTGCAGCCAGTGTTTCGACCTGCTTCTGGAGATGGTCAATACGGTCTGGGGGATTCCTAGCAGACGGCAGGGGTGGAGTCGTTGAGGTTCCTGCGGCGGCGGGAGCCTTATCTTTCTGATTAGCCATCATGCTGCGAGTGTTCTTCATAGCCATGGTTGCTGTTTCTCACTGGATTTGATTTCTAGGTTCAGCGCGCGCGCCAACTGTAGACGATGTTTTTCCGACAACGCGTTACTTACTCTCTAAAGACACTCTCAATAACACTAGCGGTTTAACTAAGGATTAAAGTTGAGAAATAATGTAAATGAGATAGAGATTTATAGTGGTTCGGCAAGAACTCTTTGCATTATCTACTTGTGAATGCACTAATATCTTCTGAGATTACAAACCCTCTTGGAGTAATGAAATAGTGTGTAACCCTTTTCTCGGTTTTCTTGGCTCTATT